TGGGTGGAGCAGTCCCTTCCAACCGAAGACCTGGTCTTTGCTTAGAATCCTGAGCATTCTTCTGAGAGAGGGGGCCGGTTTGAGAAAGCGCGCCAGCTAGGGACTGAGTTCCCACATTACCGTGACAAAACAGGACGGTTGGGCAGATTGGCTTTCCCAAAGCCGCACCCCTAGGATGTGGCAGAACTTGACTCGGGTCTGATCCGATTGCGCTCTTACACGTTGGATGCCTTTCCCACCCACAGCACCCGCCCGCCCCCCAGGCCAGCTGCTCCGCTCGAGAGGCTCCTGCAGGGACCCTAAGTCCAGCACTGCCTGAGTGCGGGCTGAGCCTCCATAGAGGCGGGCGGGAGTGGGGAGCACTCGGCAGGTCCCCTGGCGCCCCCTTCGAGGAGGGAAACTGGGCGGCTTGCTGGGCTCCTGCTTACCCTTGGTGCTACCTCGGTGAAGACAGAAAAGGGCGGTGAGGGAGCCCTGGGTGGGTCGGCTTCACCCGGGTCAGTGCTGCCCACTGGCCAGCTCGAGGACGGCACCGTCTCCTTTACCTGCTTCTAGGAGAATCTATTCTGTTTTTAGCTGTTTTACCACAGGGTGAGAAGACAGACAGGAGGTGGGTACTTTCTTTCATTTTCATAATCTCTAAATATAAAGCGTGGTAAAAAAAAAATAAAGTGAATGTTTAAATTTTTAAAAATTGGAGTAAAAAATACACTGCTTTTCATCGCACCCCCCCCCCCCAAAAAACAGCTCCTCTTTCAAGAGCGTCATTAGTTGCATTGCTGTGTCTGCTTCGATGTCCTAAATTGATTAAAAATGCTGACCTTAGGGCCGGGGATTTAGCTCAGTGGTTCCGCCGCCTGCCTCGAAAGTGCAAGGTCCCGAGTTCGATCCCCAGTACCTCCCATGACACCTAGGACACCAGTGTCTTCCGGGGCCCCAGGTGGAATCCCCCTCCAAGGGTGGCCTGTGTGACCAGCCCCTAGCACTGCAGAGGCTGTGGCAAAGGGTGCCTGGCTGGATCCCTCCTGTGAGTCAGTCCCCGCTCTGAGCACTGTAACGTCCTCACCGTGTAGCGGGCCTGGTCCCTGCTCAGCACCGCCACGAATCGCAACGCCTGGACTTCTGTGAGTGTCTGGCTCTGACTGAGCAGGGTGAAAGGCCGGCTGTGACCGCTTGTTGACTTGGACACTTGATGTGTCTGGGACAAAGGAAGGGGGCCTGGATCTGGACCTAGGGTACCGGTTCATCTGGGTTTGGCCAGCCCACGTCCGTGGCCTGGACAAGTCACTCCCCGCTCTGTCCTTCAGATCTCTGAACCTGCACTTCCTTCTCATCTGTACAATGTGAATAGCAAATGCTTCCGGGCCTCCCGGGAGGACACTGTGTGTCACGGTGCTTCGGGACCGTAACAGGATCTTTACCGGGGAGATGGGACCATGGCCCTTCCTGCCTCCATCCCTGCCGTATGGGAGGGTGAGCTGTCAGTGGGCTGGGCTATGCAGCAGGTTTGGACAGCTGTGGCCTTGGGAGCTGAGGCCTCCCCGGAGCCATGTGCTCGCCATAGCATCCGGCCAAGGCACGGCCAGGAGCGGGCTCCACTGGCCACCAAGCTGCAGCCGCGAACACAGGGAGCCAGCTGGGTGGTCTCTGGGCCTGCACCATGCAGGCCCTGGCTGGTTCAAACCTGTCGGTTTCTCTTCCCTTTTTCTAACACTATAAACACCTTCTTGGGGCTCCATCTGCGGGGATCAAACACCTGGATGAAACTACAAGAAAAAACGTCTGCTGGTGCCTGGGGAGTCTCACTACAAAGACAGCACATTAGGAAGCCGGATGTGTTGTTTTCAGCTTTGCCACCACAGGCTGAGCAGAAGACTTTACCACCCAGATTGGCCAGGGAATGTGTGAGACTGAGAGACAAGGCAGGGAGGAGGGTCCCTGTCCGAAGGGGGTCAGGGGCATTTGCAAAATGTTCCAGATTCCTCGCTCAGCTGGAGGGGACCACAGCCTTCCCTCCTGTGCTTCCCCGAGCTCTTCTCCCACCCAGGCCCTGGGCTGCCGAAAGGGGCAGAGCTGGTGACCGTGACCGCCAGTGACCCAACCCGGGCAGCGGTGAGGTGCTCGATGTGCATCCTGTCACTGGCCCTGAGTGATGATGTCACAGGAATAGTCCGAAGTCACCTTGTGCAGAGGCCCCCTCCCTTCTGTTCCCAGTGCCTGGGCTACAGGCAAAGCCACTCCCCTGGCAGGCCCCCAGGGGTGTCGGAGCAGCTGTCATTTATTTCCCTGCAGTGAGAGGTCAGGAGGAGAACCTGGGGCGGCCCTGCGGCCCCTGCTTGCCATGGAAACGGTCCATCAGACGGCCCTATCTGCCCTTCAGCTGGCTGTGCAGGAGGCAGCAGGACAGAGGACAGTGCTTCCAGACCCGGCACCGCCTGCCTCTGATGGGGCAAGGCTGAGAGCCACCTCCCAGCATCCACTGACTGCTCCGGGAGGGCTGCCGGGTGGTCAGACAGCAGGTTAGGGCCTGTCTGCTCCGGGGCCAACACCCCACATAACCCACTGCATCACAGGCCTTTGGTTGGTTTTGTTGGCTGTGGGGAAAGAGGACAAATTCCCACATGAGCCTGAGGAATCACTGAGGAGAGACTGCTTGGTGCATAGAATACTTGATTCTGGGCTCAAACAAATGCAGTGTAATAAAGGTTATGCCAGCCATTTTCACTGGGCTAAAAAAACAGTTCGATTTCTTTTAAGGCACCTTTGCTGGTTCACAGAAGGTGAATTAGAGAAACAACAGCACGAAGCTGTGTTTTGACAGAGCCTTAAAATCAGCAGAAGCCAGGCGTGGTGCGGCCTGAGTGTAATCCCAGTACTCGGGAAGGTAGAGAGTTCGAGCCCAGCCTGGTCAATTTCGGGCCTGTTGCAAGTTCTGAATCACGAGCCCCAACCCAGACCCACAGACCCGGATCATTTTATCAAGAGACCCAAGAGATCTGTATGCGCCTTGGAGTTGGGGGTCACTGCTCTTTCAGCCTGTCCCCCAGGTCCCCGGCAGTGCTGCCACTCCCCACAGCTCTCTATGGCAATGGTGAAGGCTGGTCCGAGCCCTGGCCCTGCCATGTCCTAGACACAGCATCTTGCGGCGTTGCCCGACCACCAGGAGCCTCAGTTTGCTCATCCACAGGATGGGGTCAATAAGATCAAGTGCCCAGTGCTGTGGTGGGGACCAAAGAGAGAGCAGAAAGCTGGGGTTCTCACTCGCTCTTGCTGCCCCTCCGTCCCTCCCCATGCATTCTGTTCATGGTTGACATCTTTGAGAACTCATATTTTCGGGAAAACTGATTCCCTTTGGAGGACGCCGTGTGCTATGGTGGCCAGAAGAGCAACCCGGCAGGCTGGGGTTCCAGTGGCAACTTCCTTCTTATTGCTACAGCCTCTCCGAGCCAGGGCACCCGGCAGGCGAGGTCACGTGACCACGGCAAGGACGCGTCTCACTATCATTATCATTGCTGTTATTACCCACTCCTGATAGCACCGAGAGGCCTCTGGGAGAGAGGAAAATGTTATGTAAACAGAAAGCAGGCTAATATTCCCTCTGCCCGTGTCAGACAGCCTTTGGCAACCGAATCAGTGCTGACAATGACGAATGCTCTGCCAGTTGCCTCTGGGGTCCCCCTCCACACTCCTGAGGCTGCTCCTGCACCTGGCCCACTTCCTGCCCTGCCAGCTGATACTGGAAGCACAGGAGTGCTTCAAAAGCTACAGATAGGGCCACCACCCCCAGATGCTCATTTAATGGGCTGGGGGTGAGGCAGAGGCTTTGGGAGTTTGGAAAGTTCCCCTGGTGGTAACAGAGCTGGGGTTGGCTGCAGGGCACCTCTCTGTCCATGCAGGGTTACGGGACAGCCCTGGGGAAGTCGATCCCGGCCTGCACACCGGGAGGAGGCTGCCTTCTCACCCTCCCACACCAGAGGGGGCCCTCCCTGAATGGAACTTATTTAGAAAGTAAACGCTTCTGCTCCCAGAAACAATACAATCTCAAATGAACCTAAAACAACAAGTTGGGTCCTTGATTAATGGAAATATTTTTTGTTCTTTTTTATGAAAACAGATCACAGCGCCTTAGCTTTAGAAATTCAAAGAGCAGCTTTCAGGGTCTTTCTTGGGGCCCGGCATGTCCACATCCCCACAGAGCGAGAACCCCCGGGGGCTGTGTCCAGAGGCCGGAGCACATACACCCCAGTTACCAGCAACACACACAGCGGTGTCCTCTGGGAAGCCTCTCAGCATCAAGGATCAAAACCAGAAAGGTTTCCAATTCATCAGACACCTGAGACCCTTACCACCCCAAACCCAGCTTCGGGAATTCCAGGCCTCAATGGGGATCTGTTTTTCAGGATTCTGTAAAACCAGCCAAATGGGCCTCTGCCTGCCCCGTTGCCCCAAGAGCTACTCATGGCTCCGGAGGGCAGCCTTTCCTGGACTCCTGGATCCCCGGGACCTGGCAGGCCTAACATGGGCCTCAGGTAACAGCACGGTAGGGGCTGAGAGCGTGGGGAGGCTCAGCTTCGTGCGTGGATCTGCTACAAAGCCGCCATACCGGGGACTGGAGATCCTCCCCGGGGGAGGTGGGCACAGGGCACCCCGCTCTCAGGCTGAGGTTCACTGCACAGCACAGTGAGAGATGTTCCTGATGGGGATCTGCTTTGGCTGTGGGCAGGAAAAGGGTCAAGCTGCTCATGCCAGCTCAAAACAACCTGGCCTTTGCTCATACTCATGCCTCCTGGCACGCTGGTCAGGAGCTGTGGGGCCCTGACACGAGCTCGGGGTCTCAGGGCAGCACGCGCGTCCTCCACTTCTGTGCTTAGGCACTGATTGACACAGGGCTCCCCAAAGCAGGCAGGTGGGCTCTGCAGACGTGCAGGAGTGTGGGGAGTGGGAGCATGCATGCCGAGGAGGGGAGACAGACCGGGGCCTTGCAGGGCGTGGTCACTCACCAGTTCCTTCCTGAGCCATGTGAGAGCCTCATCGATGCTCTGGAAGCCCTCCAGCTTGCCCGTGGACAGCGGCCCATCACCCTGGCTGGCGCTCCCAGGAGGTGGCAGGTGCTCTCCGGCCTCTTTCGGGGCCAGCAGGGGCCCCTCGGCCCCACACTCTCCCTGCTCCATGCTCGCCTCCTCGGCGGCCGGCCTGGGGAAGGGCCACATCTGCTCCTCCAGCCGGGCCTGCCACTCCAGGTAGGAGGGCCTGCGGGTCTCCAGCCTCAGCTTCTCAGTGAGGGCCTTCAGGCTGCGGAGGTGGTCATCGGGAGGAGCAGCAGCTCCCACCGGCCCGCCTTCCTCACCTGCTTCTTCCACTTGGATCTGGGGCAGAGACATTCTAGAGTCTGTCCCGGCCACCACACATGGGAGGGCACGGAGAGCAGCAGGAGAGGCTGGGCAGGTGGCGAGCCTGGGTCCAGCTCTGCAGGGGCCTCATCCAGCTGGGGTGTGGGTCGGTCTGGGAGGCGGGGCACCCGGAACTGAGAGCCCAGGAGCCCTCTCGAGCAGATGTGGGGCCCAGCGTCTAGGATGAATCCCGGAATCCTGTGGGTGCCACGCTGGGCAGGGGCAGGAACAGACAGGACAGCAGGAATCTGTGCGCAGCCTCTGCCAAGATCTCCCCGTCCTGGGGGTGCGCAGAGATCAGAGCCCAGTGGGCAGGCCCTGCGGGAAGGACAGGACCCCTCAGTCCGCATTCCTCCGCACGGGCCTAGAGGCAGGTATGTCCACTCGCCAGGAGGGGAAACTGAGGCTCAGAGAGGCCCACACGAGGCCCGGAAGGGACACAGTGTCACCACTTTAACTCAAAGAAGAGACGGGAATGCTACGATCGGGTCATGTTTTATCATTTCTAAAAACGATTCCACTTCCATGACCTAATGCTTATGGGAAGTCGGTAGAGATTTACTTTTATCCCCGTTTTACACTTGAGGAACTGGAGTCCCGAAGACGCTAAGTGACTCACCGAGACACATCTCCCAGCTCGACCCCGAGGGTGCCCGAGCCAGCTGCCCAGGCAGTCGGACTGCAGGCTCAGGTGCGTTGGCTCTGCTCGGTGCCCTGCTTCCGGGACCCCACCCACCAGCTCAGCCGCCTCCCCTCAGCTTCCTCCTCCGCTCTTCAGGGGCGGAATGAAGCACCTGCGGTTGCAGAGGCAGGAGCAGGGCTATTACCCAACGAGGATCTCATGACTCACCCTTCCGGGGCGCTGGCTCTCACGTTCTCCAGGGGCCCAGACCTCGAGGGCTCCGGCTGTGGATCGAGCCGCCTCCTTGTGCCTGGAAGGGGCATAAGCCAAGGGTCACCTCACCCCCTCATGACAAAGGGGAGAAAAGTGCCTGCCGAGAGTCGGAATTGGATGGGGCTCTCTCGTCCTTAGGGCCCTGTGTCCCCGGGACTGCGTGAGTGGGGGCGGCAGCAGGAGATACGTTGCTGGACCCTGGCTTTCAGAGTGAGTTTCACAAATCTGTGCTGAGGAAACGGAACACAGCTGTAAAATGGAATGGATCGCTATGGAACAATATCCAAGAGAAGGCTTAAGTGAAAAGGCCAGGTGCTCAGCAGTCTGACATGGCACCACACTGTGGGAAACAGGAGGGAAAAGGGGATGATGTTTGTTGACTTCTATATGCCTAAAAGAAATCCCTGCCCCAAGGACTCCTGGCAGCATTGGATCCCAGGCTCCCAGGGCTTCTGGCTTCTGATTCCACGGGTCTGGGCCCAGAGTCAGACAGTAGCACATCCCTGAGATCCACATGAGCATCCAGGGCTGAGGACGCCTGGGATCACATCCTAGCTCTGAGCTCCGTTGGGTTGGCTGAACCTCGGTTTCCACATCTGGAAAGTGGGGTGATACTGCCAACTTCTGAGGCTCTCGGGGATCAGCAGGACAAGGTTCCCCAGTGCTGCCTGAATCTCTGGTCATATGCAGCCTTCTTAGAATCTCTTCCAAGGCTCCCAGCTGCCCACTGCTTGTCTGGCTCTTTGCTGAGGTCAGGGTCCTTTCAGAGTGTGCCTGGGATAGCTGAACCCCCAGGGTGGGGTCTCTTGTTCCAGCCAGCAGAGCTTTAGAAAGGGTCCAGCGGCAGGCAGGTAACCCGTGGGAGGCCTCGCCCTCCCTCCCCTGCAGAGGGCGCTGTCCTGCATGGTGAGGTCAGGCTCTCCTCCCAGGGCGCGGCAAACCCTGCGACTTTTCCCTGGTGTGGGTTTTAATCAGCAGCTTCTGCAGCCTTTCCGAGAGGCCCTGGGAACAGAAGCCCGTGAGCTGAGTCAGCGGCAGAGCAGCCCGTCATCTGGCCTGTGTGCCAAGCTCACTCCAGCCTCGCCCCAGCCCAGGAGGCAGTCGGGGAGCGTGGAGACCTGGACTAAGGGCCCGGGGCACAGCACCGCGTGACTCTGGTCAGTCTCTTTCCACCCCTGGGGCAGCCACCTCAGTGCCAAGGTGGGAGCACCTCGTGCAGGGCTGGGGCAAAATGCAAATTCTGGGCTCCTTGCTGAAGAAGATGACGGACAAGGAGGAGGAGCAGGAGGAGCAGGAGAAAGAGGGGAAGGAGAAATTGTCATCAGCTATGGTGGCACACACCTATAATCTCGGCACTCTGGGAGGCTGAAGCAGGAAGATTGTAAGTTAGAGTCCAGCCTGGGCAACTTAGTAAGACCCTGTCTCAAAATAAGAAATTGAAAAAGGACTGAGGATACAGTTTATCATGGAGGTCCTGGGTTTAATCCCCAGTACAAAAAAAAGTCCTAAGATTTTCAGGATGGTGATAACAGAGCATAGCCCAAGCAAGAGTCCCTGCGCCCTTCCATGCCTGGGTCCCCCGCCCCGGAAGCCCTGAGATAATACTGACTTCCTAAGTCCTCGGATGAAACACAAGACAAACAGCTGTCAGCAGAGTGCTGGTCTGCAGCGAGCCCTAGACCAGCCATGGCAAACCTATGGCACCTCGAAGCTCGTTTGTCATCTCTGAAAGCTTTAAAAGGTGTGCCATCACCACCCCAGACAATGCCACCCCGAGGCAACCTACCCGTGCCACCTCATAGCCACGTCGCCCTTGTCCCTCCACTGTGCAGGCATCTGGGTGAACCTTGACCTGCCTCGGGGCTGAGCCACCCTGGGTCCGGGCATCTTTCCCTGGAAGCCAGCCCACACAGGCAGTTGACCCCATCTCCTCCTGAGTTTGGGATCCCAAAGGCCTGAGAGATCTCCGTCAAGAGCAGGTCTGCCTTGGAGGGGAGCAGCCCAGCTCACTGGGCCAGCAGCTCATTCCTTTCCTCCCAAGCCAAGGGTGCTGGGGTGACCAAGGTCTAAGTGCTGTCCATACCGGAGGCCTGAGCCAGACTCAGGCCTGGTTCTGGTCCAAGAATGACTGCCAACAAGCCCAGGACCCACGTTCAGTCTCCTCCGCTGGGCCCCAGCTTCCTGGCCTCTTGCCGCCCCCAGCACATTTGCACGACGAGGGCCTGCTGAAACAGGCTCCCTTCTCCTGCCCCAGGACTGCCACCCCTGGGTGTCCTGGTGGCTGAAGAGGCCTAGAGGGCTGCCCCACCTCCTTTCCAGCTGGGTGCAGGAGCTGAGCTGGAGTGTTGCCCACCCAGGCCAAGGAGGTGCTAGGAGGAAGGTTTGCCAGCCACTGCCCACTCGGCACTGAGGCAGATGCCTCTTGAGCTGGCAGAGAGGTGCCACCCGGGTGCTGGGGACAGACGCCAGCCCTAGACAGCCTCTCAGATGGGCACAACAGTAGGGGGACTGCTGGGTCTGGACCCAGGGAGGAAGAGCCCTTCACCATGCGGGGCTTTGCATCTAACCTAGGTGCCTCAGGGTCGGGGAACACAGGTGGAGGCAGAAGCCAGGACTGGAGCCCAGGGGCTCCGGAAAACAAACTTTAATCAGTAATCCCTCCAGGCCCAGGCAAGCCCCGCCAGCAGGCTACCCAGCAGCACGGAGGACGCCTTGGGGGTGCCAGTCTTCCTACAGCCGAGATGTGCCCGGGCCTAGGGCCCACGCTGCACCTTGCCGTTCAAACACGTCCCCTGGCTTTGCCAACCATGAGCTAATTCCCCGGCCAGGGAGGAAGCAGGTGGATGCAGTCCCGGGAGCAGCCCACACCTCCCTCCTCTCATGACAACCTAATGTGCTGGCCTGGAGACCTTCACGCCCACATCCCCCGGGCTGCTGGCAAATTCTCCTCCTCTTCCCTGCCTGGGCTCTCGTCTGCACTTTCCTGTCTTAGATTCTTCAAGAGCTGTTCATTTCTCCCACATAATAGGCAAGCTTTGTAACCCCCCAACTCCCAGCCCCTCTGGTTCCACGCTGGCTCATACCCCCGAGACTGTGTCCCTCCGCCCCAGCCCCTTCTCTCCCTCCTCTGCCTTGGCTCTCTGGGCTCATCTTCTTCTGGACGCTTCCTTTGACTTGCCAGGGCTGGGTTCTGGGTGCCCAGCAATTACTCAGAGCAACCACACCAGGACTCCTAAAAGCGTCCCATGTGCTACCACACGTGCTGCTCAATTAGCAAGCTTCATCCCCATTTTTCCAAAGGGAAGACTGAGGCACCGACAGGTTAGGTAGCCTACCCCAGGTCACAGAGCTAGTGAGCTGAATCTGGAACTTGAGGCTCTGCTGTCTGGCTCCAGGCTGGTGTAACCACTGGGCGTCCTGCCCCTCTTAAACCACTACACTCATCCCAGGGACATCCTTGATGGTCCCTCTGCTAGACTCTCATGTTCACAAGCGTGAGGACCAAGACTTGTGCCTTACGTGTCGGACATGTAAACCTGACAGAGTTAATGGGCAAGCAGATCAGAATTCCTCCACTTAGTGCAGCCCAGCCTGGCTCACATTTGAGAAGAGGGGACCCTGCCCCACCTCTCCCACCTGAACTCATGGATGCGCTGACCTCGGACTTCCTGAACACAGCTGTGCCAGCCCCACACTTGGAACACGTCAGGAACAGCTTCGGCATGTGCCACATCCCAGGACCCTGGCCTGGACCCAGACAGGGCCTCCCGGCAACATGGGAGATTATTTCTGGCCAGCACCCTCCCCCTCCCCTGTGGAAAGTGCGCCCCCTACCGTGCGCCCTGTGGTGCTGACACCCCCTCTGCCTTGGGTGGTCACATGACCCGCCTGGGCGGATGGGAGTCCCCACCAGAAGCTGGCCTTGCTCCTAGGCTGCCGGGGGACTGGGGGCCCTTGCTCTCCCCTGGGCAGGGCTGCTGGCCTACAAACCAGGCAGACAGGACGGTCTGGTGCCCTCAACGAGGCCCAGTTGAAGCCACCCCACCCCGCCTTGCTCACACAGCTTCCACATTCTCCTGGGCTTACACGCCTCTGAGCTGGCTTCTGGCATCTCTAACTGACCGGTGGAAGCCTGTGTGGAAGAACGGATGCAAAAGAAATGGGGGGATTTACTGATACTTGGCTTTTGCTTGCCTGTTTCCAGCCCTCCTCCTTTCCTGGTTGTAGTGAGCAACAATCAAGTTGGGGACAGCCGGCTAAGCACCCTTTGGTTTGTTCTCTTGGACCAGAGGACCAAATGCTTCCTCCTTTCCACCTCCAGGCCCTGGCCACAGGTGGGAGCAGTAATTTCAGCTTGGCCAGTCAGGGGCTCAGGCCTCTCTGGGATTCAGCTCTGTGGCTGAATCGCTGTGCCCTGACCAGCATCATCTTAGCCAAACTGTCCCCACTAAAGGACTGTCGAGGGGTCCCCCGACTCTGTCCTCTGGTGTGGCCTGACCTGTCCCTTGGGACTTTCCCTTTGGCCAATTCTGTGAGCCCCCAGATCCTTTTCTGTTGCTGGCACTCAGGGGCCCTGATTCGTGTGCAGAGGCAACATGGGTAGAGAGGCAGGCGGCGTCATAAAACATGACAACAGGAAGGCCTCCCCTCCCATGTGTCCTTCTGTCCCTCAGTGGGGAGTGCCACCTGCAGTGGGAACCACAGGGTGTAAGGTGCTGGGCTGTCCTCCTGGTGAGACTGTGCGGATGCGTGTCCTCATTCACACTGACCATAGGCAGGTGTCACAGTCCTGCGCCTCCTGGCAGAAGTGCCACAGTGGGTCACTGTACAGCAACGGCTGTCCTTTGGTCACGCAGCCCTCTCCACCCGGCTGCAGTGCCTGGGAGCTGTGGCAAACAACTGGAGGAGACCAGCCTGGCATGGGGCTCGGGAAAAGAGGC